TTAGTAATTTTTTGTTCTAGTACCATTGGTTGAACTCTGTAGTTAACACACAATTGTTCTTACGTGTTTAAATTTTAACTGAAAAGTGATCCCTGTTAGGAATTTGGAAAACATTATGTTGAGCGAAATAAGCCAATCCCAAAGGGAAAAATACCACTTGTTCTCCTTGATAGGTGACAACTAACTGAGCACCAAAAAGGAAACCTGTTAAAGTGAAATGAACACTAGGAGAAACGGTGACTTGATCAGCCCTCATCCTGACTGTTGATGAGCAACTTGATATGTTATCCCTCTTAGTATTTTTTTGTTTGTTTGTTCTACTTAATACTTTTGGTTGAATACTGTATCAATACACAATTCTTCTTAAGTGCTGAAACTTAACTGAAAAGTGATCACTGTTAAATGTAAGAGTGGGAATAAGAGAGGGAAGAGATGTGCAATTCAGGACATGCTCAAGCTGACTTACCTCAAACGGTAGAGTTAGAAACATACCAGGGGATTCCAATTCAATCCCATCAAGGTGGCATGTACCAATGCCATCTCACTAGTCCCGGTCATCAATTTCCCTTCACAATTGATCATAATGATAGGACTAAGAACCAAAGGGATCACATAAACAAGAATAGTGTCTGCAAATACTAGCTGATAGAATCAAAAAGGGAGAGAATGATCCAACATGGGAAGTGAGATACACAGCAGACCCATAGAATGGCAGATGTCCTAAACAGCACTCTGGCCTCAGAATCAGCCCTTAAGGCATGCGGATCTGGCTGAAAAGCCCATGAGACTATTTCAGGCATGGAAAGTCAAGACACTCTGGGGAACAATAAAATGACCTAAATGAAAGATCTCTGCGAGTGAGATCCCAGTGGAAAGAATGGGTCATCAAAGAAGGAGGTACCTTTCTCTGAAGGGAGGAGAAAACTTCCACTTTGGCCATGGCCTTGTCTAAAAATTATCAGAGTCAGTGAACTCAGGGGGCTTCCATAGCCTTGGCAGCTCATGACAAGAGCCTAGGGTGATTACTGATGCCATAAACAAGAGTGTCAATTTGTTAAGTCAACAACAGGAGTCACTATGCACTTACTCCTCATGTAGGATCTTTGTCCTTAGTGTGCTGTACATTGAGATTTAATGCTATAACTAGTACTCAAACAGTATTTTTCACTTTATGTTTCTGTGTGGGAGCAAACTGTTGAAATCTTTACTTAATATATGCTAAACCGATCTTCTGTATATAAAGATAATTGAAAATGCATCTTGATGTGAATGGAAGGGGAGAGGGAGCGGATAAGGGGAGGGTTGTGGGTGGGAGGGACGTTATGGGGGGAAAGCCATTGTAATCCATAAGCTGTACTTTGGAAATTTATATTCATTAAATAAAAGTTTAAATAAAAAATAAAAAAGACAACTTTATTTTGGTGCAATTTTTTTTAAATAATTATGCGTGCATGCACACGATGTTTAATATCCAATCAAGGTGAATATGTCTGTCTTTTTTTTTTTTTTTTTTTTTACAGGCAGAGTGGACAGTGAGAGAGAGAGAGAGAAAGGTCTTCCTTTGCAATTGGTTCACCCTCCAATGGCCGCCGTGGCCAGTGCTGTGGCCAGCGCACCACGCTGATCCGATGGCAGGAGCCAGGTGCTTCTCCTGGTCTCCCATGTGGGTGCAGGGCCCAAGGACCTGGGCCATCCGCCACTGCACTCCCGGGCCATAGCAGAGAGCTGGCGTGGAAGGGGGGCAACCGGGACAGAATCCGGCGCCCCAATCAGGACTAGAACCTGGTGTGCCGGCGCCGCAAGGCAAAAGAATAGCCTATTGAGCCACGGCGCCAGCCAATATGTCTATCTTCTAAAACATTTAACATTTCTAAATTGAAGAAAATCCAAAATCCTATCTTCCATATTCTTAGAGAAATATTATCTGTTGTCATTGCACTGTTTAATGGAACTCCAAAACATCTTACTTCTACTTAACTATAACTTGCAATGTGTTAATCAACTTATGCCCATCCCTCAAATTTTTATATATGATTTTGTAGTTTCACATTCCAAGATGGTGTGGACCCACTGATTCAGTATTTGATGATGTCATCCTTACTGGCAGAGTCCCCAGGCCGTGTAGAAAATCACAAGACGTAAGGGCATGTTTTTTTCTGTGGGGAGTTAAAAGCCACTATGATTTAATCATGGGGTGACACCCTAAAACTTAATTATATGTTGATAACATTTTGTATGTTTGATCTCAAATATATCTTTGCGTTTTCCAAAGGTCTTGCCTGTTATACACAATAATTAGATTAACTTTCCATCCTTCTGGTGATATTAACATTAGATTTTCAGGACCAGATTGTTAACACATGGACTTTTAGAGCATCCAAACAATGTCATATGAATTAGAATTTGTTAATCAATATTGGTTATACCTTTATTATTTGCAGAAGCTAAGTATTCTTGAAACAAAAAGATGGCAAGATATGCCCATTACTATAATAGACCAGTATTATATTTTTCAATAGATAGCTATTAAAAACCCATTATTGACTAGGAACTCTTAGTACTAGAGAAACATTGTTGCAAAAGTGAGATCTATACCTTAAGCTTATTGAAGCTTACATTCAGAAAATTATATATATATATACATTTATATATATATTTATTTTGGCAGAATGTGTTGAGTTATTAAACAGCTAAAGCAGATAGCAAATACAGAAAATGTCAGTTATGCGGAAGAAGACTTTTTAAATAGCCAGGTCTGAGGCCTCACTTTTAAACTAATTTTTACAAAGACTCATATAAGAGAAAAATGAGCTATAAAAAGAACCCATAAAGGATAAATCCTCGCAAAGTTGCAGAGATAGAAGCAAGCCAATTAAGTTTGTGGAACAGCCAAAAGATCAATGTTGCTAATACAGAGATGAAGGAGTAGCTGCTGAGGAAGATGTAACGTAGAAGATTGGTCAAGAGACAAGGAACAAAAGGAACTAAAGATATGGGCAGGCCTTTGGCCTTCCAGTTAATATGTCAATGGGGCACTCACCAAACTCTCCTCTTCTCCTTTTCTCTAACTCTCCATTGCAAATAAATAAATAAATTTTAAAAAAGAGGAGGAAACTTCTAAAGGAAATCAACATGACCTATCTGTGAGAGAAGGACTTCAGGAGAGCATGACATTCTGAAGATCAAATGGAAAGTTTTGCATCCACAATGACCAACTGGGAGCTTTAGTACAGTGCTGTCAATCACTGCCAGTTCACGTAAGATGAGGGTTTAGAATTCACCACTGCTTTTATCAATAGGGGCACATCTTCTTTTCCGGACAAAAGCAATTTTCATAGAGTGGGTGCAGTAAAATCCTCATTATAATCTCAACAAGCCTCAAAGAATTTTACTGAAAAAGGAAAAGTTAAATAGTGCCAACAATGGACATAGTCAGGTTTGAAATATATTTTTCTTTAACAGATAAGAATCACGGCAAATTATTTCATGCAATGATGGTTAGTCTCCTATCAGCTTGAATGGATGAAGAAACACCTAGAGAAAGCATTGCCATAAGCTATGTCTGTTAGTGTAGTTTTAGAGGAGTTTTGCATGTTAGCCCATACACTGAGCTGGTAGGACACGTCCTCAAAGTGGGTAGGCACCATCCAAATAGCTGGAGACTCAAATGGGACAAAAAAGGAGAAAAAAGAATTCCCTGGTTCTTCTGCTAGACCTGGAACAGTCATTTTTCTGCCTTTGGAGATCAGAACTCCAACTCCAGAATCTTCAGCCCTTGGTTGTTGAGATTTGAACCATGGAGTACCAGATTCTTAGGCCTTTGAGTACGAACTGAGTTACAACCGTCAACTACCCCGAGGCCTTTGAACTGGAAGTAACATCACTGGCACAATAGGGTCTTCAGTATGTAGACTACATGTTTGTAGGATTTATTGGCCTCCATAAATACATGAACCATTGTTTTAAAACAGGATTTTTGGCTCACCTTGTTGAATGGATCATTACCCAATGTAGGATTAGTAAATTGTGCAGCCTATGTTCACATAATTTGCATAGTAATCATTGTTATAATTATTGTAAAAAAGAAGTACATGATCAAAGTCATTCCTGGATTTCTTTTCTTATCTCAGATAATAGAAGCTCTTAATGTTACATAATAATGGATTGACTGACAACTGTTCTCTATGTATATCGCATACCCAAGTTTTGACTATTCTGTTGTTAAAATATTTATATGCCTGACAGAAGCACACAGTTTCTTCCATGGTAAAACTGACTCTCTTGGGAATGTGAGATTTATTTCAATAATTCTTATAATTGACATAAGAATAAATACTTTTTTCTGTCAGATAAGACTAATTTCAGAAACTATTTGCTAAAAGACATCTCAATAATCAATGATCTTTTTTTCCCTAAATAAATATATAATTTTAAGTTTTAAGAAAGGTTGAAGATGATTGTTAAAGAAGTTGAGAAGGTAGTGGGGAAACTGCTAATTAGTAACACATGCATTATTTACAAATACCTAAAATATTATTTAAATAACTGTTAAGTTAACAATGCAGTAGAATTAAATTTTAATTGGATGCAGTTTTATTTTTGAGATTCAATGGAGTTTTAAATTATTATATATATTTTAATAGGGTTATATAGAGATAACACTCTGAACAAAATTTTATTCTTAAGAACGCTCCCAGTTTTCAATCATTTGCTAGCACACTCACAAAAGCTGTGTGCTTGTGTTCCTTGAGGATATGTGTGTTTGTGTGTGTATACACCTTTATTTCTTTAGATATACATTAAATAAATGTTTTTACCAAATATGAAAAAACACATTTCTCGGATGTAGTCACCAATTTGTAAAAGATATCATAGGTATATGTGTGTTAAGAATGCTTTCCACCATCATACCCAATTTAGCTATAATTTAGTAAAACTAGAATTGATCCTGCATCCTGGAAGCAATGAGCAGAATTCAGAATCTATTTGGTTTTCTTCAGGATAATATGATGCTGAAATCAATCAACTTTGGAAAAAAACTAAACCTACGAACATAGAAACCATATTGAAGTGAACAAAGAGCATATTCCTGATTAGAACTGAGGTAATTTACCTGTGATAATTTAGTTGTACATTTACAAGACCACACAAATGGGAATGATAGAATAAAGAAGAACAAGCAATATTAAAATAAAATGTGTTCCCATCTCTTTCTCTCTTTCCCTTTCTCTCTCGCTCTTTCTTTTCTTTCATATGTGTGTGTGTGTGTGTGTGTGTGTGTGTTTAAGAGTTCAAAAACACTATCTTGGATTGAAATGTGCATTTGAAAAATGATCCAAAACATTAACATTTTTACTTTATTTCATTTTCTCTTTTCATTACATTTTGAAAAAAATTATAATGAGGATATTCATAAAGGAAATCCAGTTATTTATTTAATATCAGTTTAATCTCTTAAATTCAAATATTATATGAGAGATTAACACACACACGCAGGGTGTCCGGCACATAACAAATCTTCCCAGTCAGATGAATCAATTAATTCACAAGCTTTTATTGGAATTCCACTCCCAGGCAAGGTTTTCTGGTCCCGACAGAACAGGGGGCCAGGGAAGTCGCGTGTCAGAGGTTGGGAGGGCTCCTTTTATAGATACAGGGCATGGGGGTTAAAGGTTGAGGCAGATCCTATCCTCATTGACTGACCTTTAGGCACTCGCTGGGAACTTGACAAGGACTTTTCATTCCCGGAAGTGCGGGTAGGGACTCTCCATTCCTGGAAGTGTAGGCCTTCTCTCCTTGTGGATCCCAAAGCTACCAATACATAACATATATATAGCTATGAGCTTATTATTGTTTATCTATATGTTTAACTATTGCTGTGGTTTTATAAACACATATTTATGTGGAGTAATGTTTAAGGTTAAAAGATTGTTGTGTTTTTGTTTATGTATTTTATCTTGATCTGCAGAGCTTTAGAAAATCTAATATGTATGAATTCTACAGAATTATTTTGGCTGACAAGTTTGTGTGTGCGTGTGTATATATGTGTGTGGGCATGCATATGAAAAGAAGTATTGACAACTTCTTGCTTCTAATTCATAACATATGTGAGCTTTTCTGAGGATTATATTTGTTCCCCTGTTCAAGCCACTGAATGTAGACTTCATGGGGCCTGGAGACTGTGACTCACTGACAATCTGATAGAAAATGGCCACTGACTCGTTTTTCTTTTTTCTCTGGGCAGTATACCGGTGTCTCTATATATAATCACTATATTTTAATCTCAAAGTTCAGTAAGCAAAGTCTAGTTCTTTCATAGCATTGGACAAATATAATTTGGTATATCTTTGACCACAGCAAAGAGATGGTTTGATTTTAATACAGTGTACCAATGTATATGGTTTAACAAGTGGATATCAGATTACCTTTTGCAATTCCTTATGGGTCAGAAATTGAGTTTGGTCTATAATCTATTCTTTTAGTATGTTCAGTTGGAACATTGCCTATTAACCATTTTTTTCTCATTTTTGCTAGTGAACAAATGAGAGAAATCTTCAAAGTCATTGCTTAAAGCTTCAAACACAATCAACAGTTAAGGTAACTATAAATCCCAAGGAGTGGGATGGCTGGGTCGAAAGGTAGGGTTATATTCAGGTTTCTGAGGAATCTCCAGACTGATTTCCATAGTGGCTTGACCAGTTTGCATTCCCACCAACAGTGGGTTAGTGTCCCTTTTTCCCCACATCCTCGCCAGCATCTATTGTTGGTAGATTTCTAAATGTGAGCCATTCTAACTGGGGTGAGGTGAAACCTCATTGTGGTTTTGATTTGCATTTCCCTGATTGCTAGTGACCTTGAACATTTTTTCATGTGCCTGTTGGCCATTTGGATTTCCTCTTTTGAAAAATGTCTATTGAGGTCCTTGGCCCATCTCTTAAGTGGGTTGTTTGTTTTGTTTTTGTGGAGTTTCTTGATCTCTTTGTAGATTCTGGTTATAAACCCTTTATCTGTTGCATAGTTTGCAAATATTTTTTTCCCATTCTGTCGGTTGTCTCTTCACTCTCCTGACTGTTTCTTTTGCAGTACAGAAACTTCTCAATTTGATGCAATCCCAATAGTTGATTTTGGCTTTGACTGCCTGTGCCTCCCGGGTCTTTTCCAGAAATTCTTTGCCTGTGCCAATATCTTGAAGGGTTTCTCCAATGTTCTCTAGTAAATTGATGGTGTCAGGTCATAGATTTAGGTCTTTAATCCACGTTGAGTGGATTTTTGTGTAAGGTGTAAGGTAGGGGTCTTGCTTCATGATTCTGCACGTGGAAATCCAATTTTCCCAGCACCATTTATTGAATAGACTGTCCTTGCTCCAGGAATTAGTTTTAGATCCTTGATCAAATATAAGTTGGCTGTAGATGTTTGGATTGATTTCTGGTGTTTCAATTCTGTTCCATTGGTCTATCCATCTGTTTCTGTACCAGTACCATGCTGTTTTGATTACAACTGCCCTGTAGTATGTCCTGAAATCTGGTATTGTGATGCCTCCGGCTTCGTTTTTGTTGTACAAGATTGCTTTAGCTATTCGAGGTCTCTTTTGCCTCCATATGAATTTCAGCATCATTTTTTCTAGATCTGTGAAGAATGTCTTTGGTATCTTGATTGGGATTGCATTGAATCTATAAATTGCTTTTGGGAGAATAAAGGGGAGAGTGATCCAACATGGGAAGTGAGATACTCAGCAGACTCATAGAATGGCGGATGTCCTAAATAGCACTCTGGCCTCAGAATCAGCCCTAAAGGCACTCGGATCTGGCTGAAAAGCCCAGGAGAGTATTTCAGGCATGGAAAGCCAAGACACTCTGGCAAAAAGATCTCTGTGAGTGAGATCCCAGTGGAAAGAACAGGTCTTCAAAGAGGGAGGTGCCTTTCTCTGAAGGGAGGAGAGAACCTCCACTTTGACTATGACCGTGTCTAAACAAGATAAGAGTCAGAGAACTCAAGGGGCTTCCATAGCCTTGGAAACTCATGACTGGTGCATAGGGAGATTACTGATGCCATAAACAGGAGTGTCGATTTGTAAAGTCAACAACAGGAGTCACTGTGCACTTACTCCTTATGTAGGATCTCTGTCCTTAATGTGCTGTACATTGAGGCTTAATGCTATAACGAGTACTCAAACAGTATATTTCACTTTGTGTTTCTATGGGGGTGCAAACGGTTGAAATCTTTACTTAATGTATACTAAACTGATCTTCTGTAAAAAAAAAAAAAAAAAAGAAATTATCAATTCCCAACTTGACTCTCACTGGGATTAAACATGACAATAGGTCTGATCTGATTTCATCATCATTTAAAAAAAATCATCTATTATTTTTCACTTTATGTCTCTGTGTGGGAGCAAACTGTTGAAATCCTTACTTAAGGTATACTAAGCTGATCTTCTGTATATTAAGATAATCGAAAATGAATCTTGATGTGAATAGAAGGGGAGAGGGAGTGGGAAAGGGGAGGGTTGTGGGTTTGAGGGACGGTATGGGGGGGGAAGTCATTGTAATCCATGAGTCGTACTTTGGAAATTTATATTCATTAAATAAAAGATAAAAAAAAAACAGTTAAGGTAACTATAAATCAATTATGGATTCTTATCTGGGATGTAGTCTGTATATTAAGTTGTTTATTCGAGTTGCTTTGAACTCTCCATAGTTGATTCCCTTTTATTGCTTAACATTGCTCAGTTGTATAGATTTTCAGCAATTATTTTATCCACATACTTGCTGATGGGTATCTGAGTTAGTTCCCTTTTTGGATAATAAAAATAATGCTGCTGTGAGCACTCATTTTTATATGGATAACTTATTTCATTTTTCCCAAGTAAATACCATAGCTGGAACATATAATAATCATATTTTAAGAAGCTTTCAATGGAAAACTCCTTAGTATTAAAGGTAAACACAGCACTGATGGATACAATAGCATGGATAAATATGAACATATAATCCAAAGAACATATTGTATAATTATATTTGTATGAAACTCTAGAAAATAGAAATATAATCTTTTATAAAGAAAACCAGATTTTTTTTCAAACTAGAGTCAACCAAGAAGACAACACACAAAATTTTTGAAAAATAATAAAATATTTTATATTTTGATTATATGTATTTGTCAGAAAAGGCTAAACTTTTCAACATGAGAAAGTTTATATATACATATTATGCTTTAAGCTCTTTCTTTATATTTTTGTTTTCAGAAGCTAGAGCTATTTTAGTTTGTTTGTCTCAAGGAAATTTAACTATAATCACCTAAAATGACTTGAAAATGTTCTGTAAACTGTGAATAAAGATATTAATAAGGGTTGCTGTGAAGATTACATATGTTCATAAAGACAGAAGAGCTGGAACAGAGCCTGATTTACAAGTTTTTTACCTCATGGTGTCAGCATATCTTATAAAGTATTACATCTTGCTAACACTTGTTTAAGTATTATTTATTGTTTAAGACAAGTGATATTTGCAAATATAAGTGCTTCCAATATACAGAGATTAAGTTATAGTGTGAAGTAAAACATTGTGGAAATATTTTTATGATCTCCAAGAAAAACCTCTATATCTGACACTGTAGGTGTGCGTTCAGATGTGTTGTCTGATGGAATTTGTGTAAGAGCAGGACTTACACACACACACCTATGAACACACCCACCAAGAACATGCATGCCTGTAGTTAGTTTTCATTTTGATTTTAATGTATCTAACCCTTGGTTTACAGATTACACAGAAATAAGTTATGAGGAGACTCCTTTAAAGTTTCATGAATTACCTTCTTTAATATCAGAGTAATTCTGTCAAAGTTGTTTCCAGAGGAAGGCACACATATGGGCATGAAGTGCATTTTTCTATGGGCTGTGAACAAATACACAGGCTGGTTGTTGGTATAATCACTTTGTAGAGGGATTTGGAATTATTTGTAAATTCATCTTTATATTTCATTGTCAGCCAGGTCATTTTGCATAGTTTCCTTGTTTTTCTGTTAAATGCCATTTCATTTATTAACCATAATGGTTTAACTTAATTTGCTTCATAAAGCAGCCTATGATTCTGCCTGCTCCATTGCTTTCTTCACCTCCACTAAACGGGCACTGTCGTTCTTTCCCAAGTCTTATTTAGCAGATTTGTGACTTGAAGAATTCAAGATTTTTAGAGTTACAGATCTGTCAGTTTAGGTCTCAGGCCTGTCACTGTCATTTTGTTGCTGTCTATTTTTCTTTTTTTTCATAACTCAGTTTTGTCATTTGCATAATACAGATAATTGTATCTTTCTTATAAGATGCTTTTGCAGAATATGTGAGATGATACAGGCGAAATACCAAGCAAAGTGCCTTAGATAATACTAGTTATCATGAACACCATAGCCATCATTACTCTTAACTGTAGAAGAGATGAATACGTGTTGGATTATTATGGGATGAATGAATGTGTGCATATTTGCTAGGGTAAGTGCATAGATGTGCATGATAGGAAGATGGATAATGTCAAAGAAAAGCTTGACTTTCAGAAGAAAGTATTAGGGATCCTTTACTGTTCTCTGCCTTTTGCTTTTGTTTTTGTTAAGTGGGAAAGTTAAGAAATATGCGCTAGAATTAATGCAAAATGTGGGTTTGCTGCAGAGCATGATATAATCATTGTCTGCGTCAATAAAACTGTTGGAGAAAAAGGAGGTTTGGGATAAGTTATTCAATTCAGTTCTTTGCTTGGGGGTAAATTGTATTTGGTACTTAAACTTTGATCCTCTGTGTATTCTTGCTGTTATGTAAATTTACCTAAGATAACATTTTTTAAATAAAAATTTCTTAAGATTTTGAAAGCACACATACTCACAGCATATAGGTAAATGCTATTTAGTCTGAATTGAATAGACAAATACCTTTTGACAGATTGCATGGTATGAGTTTCTGATTTAGTCTGCTCGGGCTATAACAGTAAATTACCACAGACTGGGTGGGTTATAAGCAATGGAATTGTAATACAGTCCTCTGGAGTTTGATAGTCTGAGATCAAGATGCTGGCATGGTTAGGTAGTAGTAAGGGCGCTCTGCTAAGATACAGACCAACCTTTTCTCCTCACAACTTCATGCGGCTGACAGCAAAGAAGAAGCAAGCTCTATCTTGACTCTTAAAAGGGCGTGAATACTATTTGTGGGATTTCCACCTTCACAACCTACTAGAGGCAAACATTGAAGGGAGACAAACATTTACTACAGAAGAATCCCTCTGTCTACCATGTGTTGCCTAAAGTATGTGGATCCTCAGGTAAAATGTCTTGCAATATGCATCCTGATTTGGACAAATGAATGATGTTGCTACATAAGCTTTGCTCTCTAGTAAATAAAAAGGTAAACACAATTAAATTACCATGAATAATTCAACAAGTCTGTGTAGACAGCATCACCTTTTGTAAAATCTTTGAAATCAATCTTTCGAGTTTCTTTTTTAATTGACAATATGAATACTTAATTCCTCTTTGCAACAGTGTGAAATCCCTGTGATCCTGTACTTCATTTTATCTTGGGTAGTTATTTTCATAAGAGTGTGGGGTTAATAAAGCCAGCCTAAATGACTTTTTAAAACTATTTATTTATTCGAAAGGC